CCGTGAGGTAATTTTTATATATAGTTTGGCTAACAAGAAGATGTATTAAGATGAGGGTAAGCAATAAGTGCCGGAGGATTGGGTCTCCGGATTCTGTCAATTTACACGGAGAAATTAACGCAAGAGAGGACTAAGATTAGGCATGAATGGGCCAATTAGATCAGTGTGATACCATAGCTCCATAGAAAACGAGCGTCAAACAATATGTGGGTGAAGGTACCTGAGGCCCACATCCTCTCACCCCTCACTCATAAAAGGTTGACGGCAGAATTGTAACTCTGCTTCAGCCGGTGCTGATTGCTTACCATAAGATGATCCATCTGCTCAGTATTCCTATCTCATTAAATAATATGTCGTATAATAATCCATGAAACTTTAGCTATAACACAAAACTTGATCTTCTCAAATATTTTCCCACAGACACTATCGTACGAGCCGGACGCTCCGAAGACCGGCAGCATGACGATCTACAACAAGGTAACAGGAGAACCATTCACTTGGCAGGGAGAAATCACAGACTTACCACTCTGCATGCCATGCGAAAATAGCCCTAATTGCTTTAAAGTTCCACTGTCTAGAATGGACCTTTTGCCTAACAGCGCTAACTTGATACTGTTAAATCGTGAATTAGTTGTTCGTTCCCCCACAAAGGTGGTTGTTGGTCAGCCAGAGTTAGATGATATACATATCAATTTGATTGTTAAGATTTTTGACTGAGAAACTAAGTTAATGGACTTCTGAAGCTAAGTTAAAGTAATTGGTGAAAATATATGAATCTTTTGGTGAGTTTCTTAAATTATTATTATGTTTTTGGCTTGCTCATCTAACTATTTGGCGAGGAACTCGACTAGTTCCATGAATGAGTTACGCGAGTAAGCCGAAAACATAATAATTAATTTAGTATGTCTCATGAGTTTTTTCTAATATTTTTCTGTTTTTTTTATGGTTTTACCATATATTTTGAGAGTTTTGGACACTACATTCGTCAGTTGAAATGACGATATATTAGATAAGTTAAGCAAACGTGATTACAGATCTCAATTACTAGTATAGTAAGATTTTGTTACTTTTTTATACATTTAAATATATTATTTTGCACCTGGTACATTTTGACGTACAGATTGTGCATCAAAGTATCATTTTTGAAAGCTAAGAAATAAACACTGGCGGAAATTATTTTATCGTTCCGAAGTATAAAGTCTTATGTCGAAGAAACCAAACATAGCAAAACAGCGACCTTTATGACGTCATTACTTCAAACTCGTCTAATAGATTTTCGACCATGTAAGTACATGATTTTTATAAAGTTTAAAATTAAACAAACATAGTTTTGAGTACAGTTTTGTGCTCTCGTTGATACTTGACACGTAAAGGTAGGTGACCGGTGTCAGCTGTGCCTTTAACAGTTTTCTGTCAGTATTCTAAGGGCTAAGATTATAATCGAAGCTTGTTTTAGATTTATTGTTAATTACTACCAGTGTTACTGAGTCTACGAGTAAGACAGTATTGTTATTTTAAGGTGTTCCCACACAGCAGTTTTTGTTTTTAAACAAATTATAACAAAGTTGTTGTTGATGAAGCGACATACAAGAGGTATGTAGGAATCGTAATAATTGGCGTTTTATAGTCTCTGCCTACCCCCTTGGGAGACAGGCGTGAAGTTATGTATGTATAACAAAGTTGTAGTAGTAACTTGACATGTTGTAAAGTATGTTACCAAATGTTATCGTGTTACACATTGTGGTATGACGTTATATAACTGTAGTGTGGGAGCACCTTTATAATTTTACCTTTAACTTGTGATACCGAAGTCATTTAAGTAAATGTTATTTAAAACCGTACAATACGTTTACTAAGTTAACGTATAAAGTCATACTTTTAAGAAAAGTAAGTAAAAGTAACTCTTTCAGAACTGATTTAGTTTATAAGATCACTATGAAACTCTTTAAAATTCAATATGGCGGACTATAGCCATTTTGAATTTCGTTTACTTTTGACGTATTTTTTATCGTTTTTATTTTTGTTTAGTTTATAAGATCAATGTAAAACATGTTGTTCCTCAATCGTGTGCCATATTGTTCGTCTGATAGCATTTATCAAGTACGATTCTTTAGTATTTTTATCTCTTTGTTTTTTTATACAAATTCTATGTACTATTGCGTCCATGATTTCAATTTATGGATTGTAAAAGTTTTATTTTGTTAGTATAAGAAGTCTATGAAGATAACGAATGTTATCTGGACTTGAGTAAGTCCAAATCTTTGGACAAATTGCATATTAGCCTTAGTTGTAGGAGTGGCGCTACGGACTCACGACGCGATTTTCATCCGCGTCCGCCGCGGTGGCGGAATGGAGATTTAAGGCCAAAACACATAACCGCGTAGCGTCGCCGCAACGCTAAAATTGGCAGTTTGCGTTGCGGCGTTGCGGCGTCGTGAAAAAGAGCATTTTGTTGACGTTCGGTAGGGTAACCATTACGTCGTGATTTTTTATTGTGGATAGACGTGTCTCTGCCATGGACCACCGTGAAAAACTTATTGCTTATTTGTTATTAGGAAGACATTACTCTGCCATGCTAGAACGAACGCAAACTGCCGATTTTGGCGTTGCGGCGACGCAACGCGGTTATATGGTTCGGCCCTTATTTTCAAAACTCACGAGATCGCACATTCTATAAAGGTTGCGGGCCCGCGGGAGACGGGAGAAAATCGCGCTGTGAGTCCTTAGCCTGAATAAGAAAGTACGCTTTCGACTATCATGCCATTTGCCTAGGAAAGCAGAAAAGACTATTATTTAGATATTTTAATAATACTCGTTTGTATGGTAGGATTGTTCCTAATTAGAGCTATAAGCTATATTCAAGTCTGAAATGAAAGACTGTTTATGCTAAGAAATAAGACATTTTATATTTACATGATTACTTGCTATAAAGGACAAGTATAAAGGCTGATACCATGTCTACCCATTTATAAGTTTTATGTAAATAACTCAAATCGATTATGCAGTTCATATAAACATTTCGCTACACACAAATGAATGAAAAAGTAAATACAACATGTAACGTAAGTAACGCACACCCTCAAACACCCCAATTACAATATTACGTTATAATCATAATACATACACTAAATTTTTAATATAACATGTATATGCATCCTTACTGGTCTTGTCATAAGGTTTATTTTTCTTTATTTTTAATTGAATAATAGAATTTGTATGAATACAAATAAAACTGCGATTTTAAAAGTCTTATTGCTTTGACTTACGGTCCATTTCGATTTGTTTTAACAATAAAGGGTTAATATGACAATAATTTCCGTAGTTTTAATTATTTGTGGGATAAAAAACTACTTATATTAAAAATTATATAAATCGATTCAGTTAACAATTCCGAACAAACTATTTTCAGGATGTGCGTTATTTAAGTTACATGTTGTATATGAGATTGATATTCGACAAATTGTGTTGGTTCCATAAAAAGTCAGAAACGAAATCATTAACTCTAATAAATGCAAATAAAAAGCACTTTTGGACATCAAATAAAGGAGGCCATACACGCTACGGGTTGCATGATGGTTATAACTGTGCATGCAAAACCGACAAGCATAACCGAGCACCGATGCACCGATAACTGTACAGTTTAATCACATACACGCTAGGGCTTGCCTGACAGTTATGCATGCACGGGTAAAACCATTCAAAACCTAGTGTGTATGGCCTCCTTAAAGAGTGTCAGTCCGTCGGTCAGTCCTATAGTGAAACTATTTGCCCCGAATACTAGAAGACTACTCAATTTTAGGACCGTGATGGCGTGATATTTAAGCACAACTTAAATTTGAGTAATGTTCAGTATTCAGACGTAAAGGTATTGAGTTCTACTCTATTTCTTTTTCAATTTTTTACATAGACCAGCTAGCGTTCGAATTGGTTATTTCGTTTATGTCATTTATTCTTTCGAAACCTTTATTAATTTTATGTAACTTTGTTATTATTATATAAACTCTGCAGGGTAGGAGGGAATCGTTTCCGAAAACGCACACAAACAATTTTAACTTCTACAATTTAATTTTTTTTTTCATAAAAGAAATATTTTAGGACTTTACTTTTTTGAAAAAAACTCGTTTTTTAATCGACTACACAAAAAGGAGGAATACTACTGTCCTCGTTTTTTGGAAGCGTGCTCCTTCACCCTGTATTTACGTAAAGTACTTAAGTAAAAAATCTTTAGTTGATTGTTGATTACTAATAAAAAATACTTAACCAAGTTGATTTGTTAACATATTATAATCACTTTAACCATTGTTTTGTTTGACACTTCTTTTTATATTGTTTTGTTCTTTTATTTAAATAAGTTTGTTTTTTGATCACATTTTGTCTTGATTAGACATATTTTTTAGCGATAATGATACGGTGAAATGTTCACCAATGCATTTAGATAACTACATGTTGTTGTAAGGCTGATTTATACCAAAATAAAGATGTTTAATCAATAGTTTTGTTGTTTTAATTTATTTTCAATTTTCTCCATCGTTAAACTGGAATACTGGATTGTAACAAGTTTTTTTTAAACGTTGCCCCACTCTAGGGATTTCTCCTGTGTCGTGGGTGCGTTTACAAACACATAAGTTCACATACACATGCCACCCAGACCCGGAACAACAATCTGTGGAGCACACAGAGTTGTTTCGTGCGGGAATCGAACCCGCGACACGTTGCGCAGCAGTCAGTTACCCAACCACCGCGCCAATCGAAACATTGAAAACTGGATATTATCCAAATTTTCTATCCGTATTCCATATAAAAAAGTGTGTGATTTTCATTTAGGCTGGCTGGTAGTGCTTGAACGTTAACCGTGTCGCTGCGGTCGATCGAAGGCAATGTTTGAAATAACATACAAAAAAGGTTTTTAACAATTAGCATTGCTCATAAACTAAACTGCTCATGACGTTGATGCCTTATTGCAATAAAAACAATAATACTGTCAAAATCTGACACCTGACAATATTTCCTGATAGTTGTTTATGTTACAAAGATTTATTGTTTTTGTAAATAATTATCTTTGCTCTCGTTGATCAATAATAACTATGGAGCCGCCGCCGCTCCCGCCGCGACAGGCGGTTCCCAAAGACGGGATAGGTCCAAGAGGTTTACCAGAAACATACCATGTAAGTATCGAATCTTTTGTACCTACATACCTTCCTATACTTAGTCGCAGGCCACCCTAGCGCGACGCGACTTGCGTCTGCGATGATATGGAAAGAATCATGCGGGTTGAACGGGGGCAACCACGTTGGCGTGACTAGCGCTCATCGCAGACGAAAGACGAGTCACGCTAGCGTGGCTTGGGACTTAGGCCAAGCACTATGTTTAAGATCTAGGATATTTGGAAACAAACTACAGGGATATGATTGCTTCTGACCGGTCCAGACACTAGTTTTCTGTGCTTCTATACTTTTCAAACCTAAACTTCCGCAGTGGTCATTTGTTCGAATAATAATATTTACAAGACGACCTAATATGTTAGCTGCCTATCTAGGCAGAGAAGCACTCTATTTTTAACCGACTTCATGTAGACTTATAACATACCGTCGTAGAGAAAAATAGTGAATAAATACCTACAATGAGAAATTTCCCAATCCCTAACCCTTTAACCGCCGACAACGTAATATTACGGCTTTCGAAAGCTGTGTCCGAATCGCCACATACGTACAATCACGTTATTTTAAAAATCTTCTTATAGTGCACAAACTCCATATAAAATGTGTCAATTTCAAGATGTAGGGTATAATCTTTATTGTTATGGATATTTCTCAATGTTTTGAGTGATAAATACTGTGAAATTTGAGGTTTAATTAAATTGTGGTCACCGTCTCCATTATCTGTATCGCCAATCACGTAATTTTACGAGTACTAGGGATGGGGCGAATTCGAAAAATACTTAATAGGTTGTCTAAGAACAAACAAGGCACTATAGATATTACTGTCACTATTTGCAATGAAAGTGTATACTTTCATTAGAAAATAACCATAGTGTTACTTTGATGCAAGTATTTGTACTAATTAAAATGTATTTAAGTTTAAAATTATTTAATATTTATAACAATAATATAAAAATTTCATAACGCAGAACCGCACTAGTGCGGACAATCGCCGGTCGCCATCATCGTAATATTACGTGCGGCCAAGGAGATTATAGCGCTGTATTGTGAGTTGCCTTAGCGCCGTCACCGTAAAATCACGTTAAACATTTATCACTCAATGCAACTAGTGTTGTAAGCCCTTTTTTGGGTTTTTGTTATTTCTCAAATAAATCAACACAGTCAAAACCAAATGTGTCCATTATGCAAAGTTAGAAGATGGTGACGCAAAAGTTTTTGATCAGAGACCAAGTGATCCACGAAATGAATACTTTGCATCTTTAAAACCTTTTGAGCTGGAAACCGTACGGTTGGAAATCCGCCCAGAAGTTTACATGAAAATATTAAATTTAATACGACATGCTCGTGGAGCATCGTCACCGTCGCCAGCAGGAAAACGGACGACGCCGTGCCCATTTCCCGAATACACATTTTCGTATACTTCGTTTAAAGATTTTTAGATTATTTATTAAGTAGGTAAATAAAACATTGATTTTAATTCTTTAATTAATAAAGAATATATGTATCGATATTAAGTGTTCCCAACACTGTTCCAACTTATACCTAAAGTGACGTGGCGCTGGAGGTAAGTTGAAAGTTCAGAATCTTGGCGGTTAAAGGGCTAATCACCCCAAATTTATCTATTCACCCCGTTATACGGTGCTTTATTACCTTGTCCAGACGGCCCGTGTTCTGGATTCGACCGCCCGCTACGAAAGGTTTATAAAAAAACTGCGCACATTGGAGGAGGAGCAGAAGCGGGGCGCCATCAACACTGAGAAGGATTTGAAAGACACACAGTACAACGACTTCTTTATTAGATGTGATCGAAGGTATGTACACGTGACTAGATAAAAACAGTTTATTATGGTCTCGCTTTTCATATGATCGTTCCACACAATCAACACGGTCAGTATCGACGATCGGTTTATACTAGTTTTGCATACCTTAATGTGCAGTCACGTTTCTATGTAACTGATACTAATCTGTTGGGAACAAACGCGCTACTGAACTTTCAGAGGCCTCATTCATAAAGATGGTGAAACAACAAGTATTGTTTCAAAGTTCAAACTCCCTTCCCAGTCGTCGCCTTCAAAATGGAGTAACTTGTAACACCTCTAGTATTGTGATTGTTCACTGCCCATGGCCAGTACCGTCTTTACCATATGGGCATGCGGGGCCTGTGCCCAGGGCCTCCATCCTCAGGGGGCCACGAAGGACCGATAATTTCTACAACGGACATGGCAACCGGTTGCCGCGCAACTTATAGCGAGTTCAATTCTGGCACTGCGCAAATCTATGTTTGCTCCACAAATTGTTGTCGGGTCTGGGAATCTGGTGTATGTGAACTTGTATGTTTGTAAATGCACCCACGATATAGGAGAAAATCCTAGCGTGAGGCAATGTTAAAAAACATTTCAAAACAGCCCCAAATTATTGTGAGCCCAAAGGCCCCAGCGTAGTCTAAGACGGCCCTGTCCGTGGGTCACACCGATTGCTTACCATAAATTGATACCTCAGCTCGTTTGCCGCCTTATACCATATTAAAATTGTAACTGAAATATAGGTTTCCATTGATTGCAGGTCACTAATAAACAACGTGGCTCGAAGAGTTGATCTCTGTTTGACATCGTATGAAGAAGATCTCCAGGCCAAGAGAGCTAGGTGAGTAACATTTTACAATCATTACCTACGTACAACCAGTCATATGTAACCGACGGAGGAATGTCTAGGAGTCTAGGAGAGTACCTATACATGGCTACACAACACCAACCTATAGAAACCAGATTAACATGGTCTCATGTTGTATGGAATTCCCTACAATCCACGGTCAGTTTATACTGGGTTCAATAGTTGATGTAAACGTCAATGTAAATACATTCTCGTGCACAGAAATCCAGATTAATAAAGAAAAAATACTAGACAAAATCTACTGAATAAGTTATTTCGCTTTTTCGAGAATCATTTGCAAAACGCGTACAAATTGGCATTGAGCACTTGATTCCGTGCGTCATCGCGGCGACTATACGTCTGTTGTGCAATCTGTCACTTGCTTTGCTTACGTGCGACGTAACCTCGTCACAGATGTTTTTTTACATTTATGGGATTGTTTAACAACGAGCAAAAAATTAATGATGGCGCAAAACTGTCACTTCACTACATAGTATAAAACAAAGTCGCTATCTGCCGTCTGTCTGGACCTATGTATGCTTAGATCTTTAAAACTACGCAACGGATTGATGCGGTTTTCTTTAATAGATAGAATGATTCTTAAGGAAGGTTTATATGTATAATACATGCCTTGCGAAGCCGGGGCGGGTCGCTAGTCAATACATAGTATAAAACAAAGTCGCTTTCGCTGTATGTCCGTATGTATGCTTAGATCTTTAAAACTACGCAACGGATTTTGATGCGGTTTTTTTTAATAGATAGAGTGATTCTTAAGGAAGGTTTGTATGTATATACATATTGTACCCGTGCGAAGCCGGGGCGGGTCGCTAGTATTAGATAAAACGAAGTAACTATCCGTCATGACACGAGGCACGCTTCAGCATGAACAGCACGACCGAAGTAGTACAATAGTACGACAGATTCGCAAAAAATCGTGAAATTTCACTGTCAATTCACGGTCATTTCACTGTCAATTAGGTACTGTTGTGATTACTGGAGGCTTCTCAATTCCCCAAACTCCCTTTAGAAGAGGGGGAGGGAGAAATTGACTCATCTGGTATTACGGGTGTTCGTGAGCGGAGCCGATTACTTACCAGGAGATCTGTCTGCTCCTTGAGCCGACAGCCACGCCCTATGCCATTAAGTCTTTTTTTCTAGGCTGACTGCTCTACTGACAGCGGAGGAAGAGAAGAATATCCGTATGTTTGTGGAACAAGCGCAGGCGGGCGCCGAGGCGGTGTGGCAGGACAAGAAAAAGCGCCTCGCGTACTTACTCGCCAAGCGGAAGAAGGAACACGATGATAAATACAGAGATGTGCCGATGTGAGTATAATAACGTACTGTGGCCAGCAAGTTAATTAACCTATCATATTCAACTTTATGGTATTGACATAAAGTCCATGACGTCATGCCTTTTAAATATTTTTAATATCCTAAGGGTAAAGGTGCACTTATAAAGCCCAGTTTTCACCGGTTACCTAGGTGGCGACGGCTGATTAAATTGCATTTCTTACCACTTCTATTCTACCCGCGAATGCCGTAAAAGTCGACCTGAGAGGTTATATTGATAAAACTCAGGCAACAGCGCTCTTTAATCTGCACGTTTTAAACTGTTATCTCCAACTCGACCACGGTAATATTATTACCGTAACTCGACTATCAAGCAAGGAGATTTTAGTAAGAACCCTTGTATGTAGAAGAGACGCATACCAACAGCAGTGGTAACTTTACCATTGAATTCTTACTTTACTATCTAATATTTATTCTCTCATCTCTCTCTCTCTCTTATTTATTCCCGGTTGTTCCCTCATGACTGAGGATCGTCATCATCCTGGTATCACTCTATCGGACGAAATATATCCATCGGCTCCTGTCTACGGCCATTTGTCTTGTGATGTAGAACCTCGATGCTGGATTGTCCTTGAGCTGATCAGTCCATCTAGTTGGGGATCGTCCTCTTGCCCTTCTCCCCTTAACATTTTTCACGAAAATGAGCTTTGCAATAAATGAGTATAATTATGTCCATATTTATTGCATTAACTATTCAATCCCCAAGCGGTCACCGGTGGCCGACATTATGAACCTTATTTCCGGTGTTTAGAGACTACTTTTGTATGAACAAATTTTGGGGATTTTCTATACGTTAATTATTTTATATCAACGTACTTATTAAATAAAATCCTGTGCTATCCAGATCCAAATGCGTGCACGCACACCCGTGTATATTGAAGATGGGTGCGAAGGAGTGTCAGGATATACGGCTGTACCAGATTAAGGAGAACTTAGCTAAGAAGATGTCGGAGATTGAGATGGACAAGATGTGGCATGCAGTCGCGCTTAAGGAGTCTGAGGCTTTGGTAAGATGGCGCATATGTAGAATGTTTTCTTAAGCAGCTGTCAAACAATGAACGCCCAATGACGTTACACTAGTATAAGTCCCTATTGGAAGAAGAATCAGATGGTCACACTGGCACCCTCTAGTGAGCATAAATACGGTAGACCCCATTACTTGTAAGCGGTAAAGTTTGACTGCACGGTTGGCGCGTTGGTTGGGCAAATGGCTGCCGCGCAACGTATCGCGGGCCGCGGGTTCGATTCCCGCACGGAACAATTCTTTTTGTGATCCACAGATTGTTGTTCCGGGTCTGGGTGTCAGGTGTATGTGAACTTGTTTGTTTGTAAACGCACCCACGACACAGGAGAAAATCCTAGCGTAGGGCAATTTCTCGTTACCTCAATCACACGGCGAAACTCAATGCAAGCGTTGTCTCACGCCAGTTTACTGTGAAGCCGTAGTATCATTCCTGTTAAACTCATTTTGTAGACAGGCGTGGCTCTCTTATGTGAAACCCTTGTATGGACCGAAGACAAAGGTGAACATTATGTTAAATGTAATAGGCGCCCATTTTCCACCAGTTGTATCACAAGTCGTAATAAGACCCACGTAATATGACTTTATGACTTGAAGCTTGTTTGTTTGTTCGTTCGTTTGAACGCGCCAAACTCTGAAACTACTAGTTCAATTTGAAAAAATATTTTTGTGTTGTATAGTTAGGAACATAGTCAGTCATATCGAGAAAGGCGATAGGAATAGGAGCCGAGCAGAGCGGGTGTAACCAGTTAGTGACTTTATATGGCGAAATATCAGTCTCCTACTAAGAATTTTTATCAACTAAATCTTAAAACATTCTTACTAAACAGTCAGCTCGGATGGAAATGGACGCAATCGAACGTTTGCGCCGTGAACACGAGTGTCTTAAACACAGCGATGAGCAGATCGCGCGGAAGAAGGAACAGAGACGCAAGGAACAGGAGCTGTTGAAGGCGGAGGCCAAGAAGTTCAGGGAACTCTACGAGGAGGAATTGAGGAAGGAGGGTGCTGGTAAGTACTACATCATCTTACCTACTAATATTATAGCGCCGCGTAGAATATGAAATTTAGAACATAAAGTTTTTTTTGTTTAAAGTTTTAAAAATAAAAGTAGCCTATGATACTCCTTAGTACATCAGCTACCTGCCATTAAGTGTTGCGAAATCGGTCCAGCCATTCCGGAGATTAGTCAGTACAAACAGTCTGACAGACTAAATTGTAAAAAATGTTGTTTTGGTAGTATATCGTATGGTTATTTTAATATTACAAACAGATACTCTAATTTCATTTATCTTTATAAATGTGAAAGTGTATATGTATGTTTGTCATCCAGTCACGTCAAATCATCTGAAAGAATGGGATGTTTGGAAAAGAGGTAGAATATGGTCTGGAATAACCATGGAATCTAGAATATGGAAGCTGGTTGCAGAAGCTAGTCATTAGTATAGTCAGGAATAAGAATCCCACAGTGCCTTTAGCCAAACACCACTTTAGCGCTTGTCTACAGAGAGAGAGTACAAAACTAAATGTATGGGGATGACACGGACAACTATCAAAATTTGACCATCTCCGGCCACCGTAAGCGCGGGCCTGCGGACGGCGAGCATGGGTGGACCCGAATACACGGCACGGCGCGTCGCGTTCCGCGCGCCGCGCGCTTCAAAGAGCCATCAGACCATCACGGATGGGGCCCAACAGGGTTGATGCCGATTCGGAGTCGCGGAGAACCTAACGGGTTACCGGGACTCCGGCTCGACGTGCAAGAGAAGGGACGGGGTTCTTAGTCAGTAAGAGTCTAACACTCCCTCCCGCCTCACCCAGGCGGGAGCAGTGATTCGATGATTTTCCCCCCTTAAAAAAAGTGTCAAAATTTACGTCAATTCCATATAATTTGGTTTTCTATTCTACATGTAGACAAGCGCTAAATGGCATTTGGCTACAGCTTCTGGATACCTAAGCGTTTAAAAGGTTTACGATTATCAAAGCGCTATTATCTGATAGTGTATACTCCTTTAGTTGCATTATTATGCAACTACCTAATGCCGGAATACTGAAACTTTACTCAATTTTAAGTCGTGCTTAAATATCGTGCCATCTCTGTCATTTTACTAAGAATTTGCAGTGACAGAACTATGCTTAAGCGCGACTTAAAATTGAGTAACGTTTCAGTATTCGGGCATAAGTATATGGCTCATCAAACTATGAGGACTCTGCTGCATGTAGGTTGCGTTTACAGTTTCAAGACATTCCTTATTGCATCAAAATGTAATAAGTTCATCTAATCTGATTAATGTAAGTATTGCAAGACTTGCGCATCGTTGCGCAAAGACAATGTATTTGCGCAAAACTACGTCGGTACTTTATTTTTTCCTTGTAGTACTGCACTCTAGTTATGTTGCTAAATGCAATTACGCATAGCAGAGGAAAAAATTACATTGCATTTAGGTTTCTACCAGGAAGGTAAAAATTTTACGATTGTCCCACCTAAGTATTGAGATTAGCACACTTACCAAGTATCTATGTAGATACAGTAAATATTGTGTAACTGATAGAGTGGAAGCAAGTAACACTACCGACCTAAGCATTCGATTCCCAAATCGGATCAAGTAATATTGTTTGTTTTTTTTGAAGATTTCTTAACAGTAGTCAAAGCAAATTTATTTCAATTAAACCATAATGTGGTACTTTTGAAACGTCAACAAATAGGTACAAAATAAATAAAATAGTCTGTCAGTCAGTCCCCCAGTGAAGCTAGGTGCTCATTTCAAAATGTAGATTTGAATGGAGAAGAACGAGCAGGAAACTCCATAATAGCAGAGTCTGAAGATCGGGTCCTTAGTGTGGCAATTTATTCGTCTCCTATTACGTGGGACTTATAACTCATAGAAACGGGTCTGTCACCCCCTTGCTAGGGGTGTAAAAGCCATATCCACTATCCATTTATTGATATAAGTTGTTATGTTGGTAGATTGATAAATTAATAGTCTGATTTATTTTACTTGGATTTATTATAATAATGTGCAGAGCGCACGGCGTTTACACACAACTGAGGGGTAGATAGCGACATTATTGACTGCCTCGTTGGTCGAGTGGTCGAAAGCGCGACTGCCGGGCAAGAGGTCTCGGGTTCGATTCCCGGGTCGGGCAAAGAAAAAAAAAATACGTGTCTAATATTTTTTTGTTTCATTACATAACTTACGGATACGGACTAATTAGATTTTTAATTTTCACACCCTGTCATCATCCCTATTATTGAGTAGCGTTTGAAAATCTTCTATTTCAATTATAGAGCAACTTGTGGAACAACAGAAGAAACTCAAAGAAAGCGAGGATCGTGCGGCGTCTTTCAAGGACCGGCAGGAGACGCTGGAGAGGCTACAAGCTGAGAACAAGCTCGTCAAAGATACGTGGGACTCTCTATCTCACATGGGGCTCATGGATGAGAAGTATAAAGAGGAGTTGAGGAAGAAGAAAGAGGTTTGTATGAAGATCTTTGCGGCATAGGTGGTAAACAAGCAGACGGATCACCTGATGGTAAGCTAGCGTCGGCCATGAACACTAGAGTAGTTGCAAGTGCGTTGCTGGCCTTTGGGACTTACTAACATGAATACATGTTGTATTTCTGGCTGGTTTTCTGTTGAGACTGTGGTATCATTCCGATCAAGCTGACCCATTTATATCGAAGCATGGCGTAGATTAATCCGAAAAATATTAGAAAGAGAAAGATTTTATTGTTTCTTTATTTGTATGCATTGCTGCAAAACTGCTGGCCGATTTTTAATTGTTATTTCTTTGGAAACCTTACCTGTCATATTAATCCCCGAACAAAATAATTCTTTGTATGATCTACAAATAATTGTTGCATTCCGATCGCTCGACATTAGTAGGTATTGTGATATTTCGTACTCTTGAGTTGCAACACTAGCGCCTATTGCATCCGTATTGCATGAATATTGAATTAACTAAATGGTATTGAGTTTGGCTTTATATCCCATACTCTGAATGCTATTTTAACAGTTACGATAGGGGTTGTAAAGTTTGGACATTGAATAATTATTGAGATTTTATTAATAGTATTGACATTAGGATTGGTTTCAAGAGTAAGCCCTGGTCTGATATCTATGTTTGGAAACACGCTCACAACACATGAAGATAATTAAAGTGTCACTACGTTTCTCTTAATATCGCTTATTAGCTTCTGCCTGCGACTTCGTACGCGCAATCCCGTTTTCTCCCGTTCCCGTAAGATTTTCAAGATTTTTTTCTGTCATAAGAACCTTCTCCTGACAATAATAAATACAACAAAAAAAATCTGCCAAATCGGTCCAGCCATTCTCAAGTTATGGTGTGACAACGGGAAACGGGTTTCGTTTTTATATATATGTGTAATGGGTTGGTTATTGAAACAAATTACTTAATGTTGTTTCTTTTACAGAGCAACAACATAAGTAATTTGTTGCTCTGTAAAAGAAACAACATTAAGTAATTTGTTTCAATAACCAACCTATTACAAAACAACATTAAGAGCTATTGCTTCAAACAATCCTTTGTATACTTATTTTAAAATAATTTTCACAAATATCTTATATGTGCTTATTCTAAAATCTCGAGACGAAACAAAACCGTTGTCCTTGACATAGTGGAAAAAAGCTATCACCACTGACGTATAAAGTCTAAACCAAAATACGCGGGAAATTTAAATTAAATGAAGGGCTAACTTAGCTTCTTCATTAACATATGTAGATTCATTCAACTTAAGAATTAGAAATAGTAATTTTATTCTTTTACCTTCACAGAGAGATTTAGAAATGTGCAACAGGCGCATAGTGAAGCTGAAAAAAGATAGGGCGCGTGCGATGGAAGCAGACGACGCGCTGTTTGATATTGAAGCGAAGAAGATACAGGACGGCTTGGACCAGAGGCGGTGCCAGGATCTATTGCGGGTTAAGAAAATGAATGATGTGAGTATTGCATCGCAGAGAGAATAAATGTATAGTCAGAAAATAAAAATCGATTCTGTACAGAGTAGGTAACCATTGGTTGGCTACTGAACCGACCTATTCAACGGATCGTTCGGGACCGATTTCAAAAGAGGTTATTTTGTCTATGAAAGTCCAGACCAGTTTTTTGTTAATTTGACTACTAGGCGCATTATAACCTACTAAACCACCAACTACCATACCATTAGGAAGCCCGCGCCGGCATAAAAGAGCAAATAAAAGAGAATGCAATGGCTCGCGCAAAGGAGAAGGATGCAGACCGCGACATGCTGGAGTACCAGCAACAGCTCGGCAAACAGCTCGACCAGCTCGTGCAACATCGCGAGCTCACTGAGGCACAGGCGCGCAAGCTGTTCCAAAAACAGTTGCTAGAACAGATCGAGTATAATAAACTTATTAAGGTATGTACTTCTTGTATCGGCTATGCTACGCTAAATTAATGTAGTGCTACTGTGCTATTCAAAACTCACCTCGCGTCAAAAGCGTATTATAAAAAATTCTAAATAAAATACTCAAAATATCAAAATACACACTTGGTATAATTGTTCTCATTTCCACCATCATGTGGTGTCGATAGTGAACTCACTTTCAGAAAACGAAACTTTGCACGTCGCACCGCGGATTCAGAAGCGACTTTGCAAATTATCTTTCAGAATAGTAATGGCTGATAATAATTTGTGAAATAATAATAATAATGTCCATAAACACACCGATGACGGGAGAAAATCCTGGTATGGCTGTGGGGTCACTTTTTTAATAATTGATGTGAAATATTTGTCGTGATGATTGATGTCTGCATCAGCAGCACTCACACGACAAATATTTACGCTATAGGTAGGGTCTTACAGATTACCCTACCTATAGTGTATCGAAATTAGTCGAAACGGTTAGGTGAGGATTAAGGGTCGGCAAGACGCATGTAATGCCCCAAGTGTTGCAAGCGTACATAGGCCACGGTAACCGCTTACGTGACTATACCGTAAATAATAATCATTGACTCGTAATAAATGTTCGTACAGGCGCGCCAAGACGCGGAGGAGTTAGACCAGAGGAAGAAAGGCATTGCGGCGGCCGACGACTACCAAAATGAAATCACTAAGATTATGTGTCGGTCAGTGTCTTATTGTCTATTAATATTATGAATGTAAAAGTTTGTGACTTTGTGTATATATATTTTAATCTTTGCTTTGTGTAAATAGCTATTTTTAGTTTTCTTTTATTTAATTTTTATCTTAAGTTGTATATTATATTCAGTAATAGTTGATATTTATTTAATATAATCTACTAAGTTCTTCTATATTTATGTGACTTTGTGTGTACATAATTATATTTGATACTCAATCAAGTTAAAACGGCTGAAGAGATCGTGATGAAATTTGAAACAGGCGTAGCTTATGTCTTCTTTTTTGGAGGGGGGGAAATCATACAGTGACTTTTACCGCCCGGGTGAGTGAGAGCGAGTGTCAGACTCGGGTCTAGAATAACACAGAGGCTACATGAGGCCACGGGAACGCGGGCCAACTTGCCGGCAGAAGCTAGCAAATTATAAATGTATTCCTTGTCTGTATGAGAAGAGATCTTTTCTCAGCAATGGGATAGTAGAAGATCGCTGTTTATTAAGATTCTAGTACATGCGAGTTCTACTGTCTAGTCTGTTTCAAATGCCCTAAGTCGCTTCTTACTAAGGTGGTAACTTTATTCTACTCAGCAGTCGCTACCCAGAGTATTTGGCCAGGGGACGTGCTTCTTTAAATGCACATTTTAAGTGTGGGAGAGCCAGGCTTCTGCACGAATGGGCCGGCTCGACCGGAGCGATACTACGGCCGAGTAGAAAACCGACCTTAAACAACCCTTGCGTTGTATATCGTCGTGTAAGTGAGGTTACCGCTGGCCCAATTATCCCCGCCTCCTTCCCTAATCTCCTCAATCCCTGAATCACCAACAATCTTCAAATTCCTAATCCCCAAAAGGCCGGTATATTCATAACGCCTCTGGTATTCCGGTGTCCATGGGGACGCCGATTGCTTACCATCAGGTAACCTGTCTGCTCGCTTATCGACTTAAAAAAAATGTTTCAAAATTCATACCTATAGGAATACACTATTACACTATCTATATAATTTGCTGGGAAATAAATGACACGATAGGGACGTCACACTCCAAGTGATAAATACCAAAACATACTTAGTGTGAAACGTTCCCACAATTCATAGTTAAATATTTGCCTATGGTTGGCTGGTAGAGAATGCCATTCGGCATTAAGTCCGCCATTGTATACAGTTGTACATAAAGTGTTAAATAAAAAAATAAAAATATTTGCAAAATCGTTAACGTACCTTTCTGAGATGCTGCCGGGAAAACAAAAGATTAAACCGTTTAATAAAATTCTTCTCTCGTTCCGAATTAATGTATCTGGAACTAATTAAATTTGGTATACAGGCAGGGTATGGGCTGACTTAGGTGATATTTCTTTATTTCTTTCTTTCTGATAGCATACTTTTGCCCCGATTAAATGCTTCCATGGGATGAAACATGGATACGCGGGGAAAGCCGTGGGTAAAAGCTAGTTAATTTGTAAATGTGTAATTGACAGTGCATTCTTAATCACATCAACGGCCCATGGCGGTTAACTGCTGGACATGGTCCGCCATATTAATTTTTTTGTCTGAACGACATTGGTGTGGTTTTACCTCTATAATATCTAACTATCGTGAGACATACTAAATTAAGTAAAAACGCGGGATACTCACGTGAATATGTACTGAGAAAAGCTGCACGACCGCGGACGCTGGTCATAAGGAAGAATCCCTCTGTGGTTCGAAACTAGTAGAGCTTTTCTCAGTAGAGGTATATTCACGTGAGTAACACGCGTTTTTACTTGACTGTGATGTACTTTTCAGAAAGTTTTATTAAACTTAGAAGAGGGCTTTAGTATATAAATTAATAGGACATTAATTTAGTATAGTAAATGTATAGTAATATAAATATTAATTTAAAAAAAAAGATAATAAATATGATAATAGGAAAAAAATAGGAATTTGAAGTCCGTTTTAAACGTAGTTTATAGAACAATTATTGGTTGTAGTATTTTTGTAATGCAACTAGTTCATCTTTTCAGGGCATATCTATGTACTAACACCCATTATATTCTTTACAGACCATCCTTAAGCGACGAAATGCATCCATTTATGAGAAAGATGTATTCAGGCTTAAAGATGAAAGTAAAATGCCCATGTTCGAAGCCCGACTACTGCGCCGTACCAGTGCGAGAACCCAAGCCCGGTGACACGACAAAAGCAGGTCTTAATCCAACCGAAACTAGTCCTGAGGATGCTGGTAATGAAGCTCCAAATCCTACTAAGGATTCCAATAACCCTTGAATTTTTGATGGTGATCCTAGACCTTGTTAAAGAGATTGATTTGATATCCGCATACAATCGTGTTTGTGAATATATTTTTTGTGTCTAATTAAACTGTGATTGTTCATTAATGTGTTTTGGTATAGTATTATAGTAATAGTGTTACTATTGTGTAATATTGTGTACTACCGCGTGGTGTCTCCCCCTCTGCTCGGCTCCTACTGATTGTAACGTGATGTATCCTTTAACATAAGACTGTAGCGTTCCTCGATATATGAACTATCCAAGACAAAAAGAATACTCAATTCGGACTAGTACCTAATTTCGGTGATATGCGCGGTCAAACAAATAACGTCAGGCGTCTGGTATTCGAAGATGATGATGATGTGAGATTACCTCTATAACCTGCGGGTTTTTCCCGAGTTGACTTTTAGTGAGCGCGCAAACAAACACATTGTTTCATATGCACATCACGGTCCCGGCACAACAAATTGTGGATTCCAAAATCAATAAATTATTTCAACTCTTTAAAGAACTCATCGAGATGATTTCAAAATGGTAGATGACGTCTATAATTAATAAAACTTCAAGATATTTCTAATATCTTTATAAACAAACTAGCAGCCCGTCCCGGCTTCGCACGGGGTAGACAATTATTTATTTTTGGAAATTTGGATTGTTGTAGTGACATAACTACAATAGTTGGACATATGCTACCGGAGTTTTTTGTAGACATTATGATGTTCTTCAATATTGCTGTACATTATTTTGTTCTATCGCTAATAGTTTCAGCAGCGCATTCGACGAAAGATATTTTAAGACTCATTTTTCTACACCTTTGGTTACATTGTTCCGCAAGCAATAAGTAACATGTTCGGTTCAGAAGCATAGTAAGTAATTACCAGGGGCGTAGCTAGCGCCATATCTACTGTATCAATTATATGGGGGCCCCGGACTACGAGGGCCCCCCAACGTGTGTAAACAAAAATATAAAAAACTTCTAAATTTATATTTTATTTTAGTAATCACAAAATGAATGCGTTCAAAGGTTGGCAGAAACCATGGAATAAGGAAATGTATTCCATGGCAGAAACTTTGGAAAATAAAGTAATCATTGTCCGATAATTTGGGCAGAGGCCTGCCTCGACCTGAAAGTTATCCGGTTTTAACACAAATTATATGTAAAAAAATCTCTTTTGAGAAATTTTTGAGTACTTTTGATAAGGGCCCCCAAAAATGTTTTATACAGGGCTCCATCAAAATACGCTAGGCCACTGGTAATTACATAATTAGAACTGCTTTAATTATGATGATCATATTAGGTATGATTAAAATAAGTATGTATTAAAATAAAAATGTAAGTGTGGGAGAGCCATGCTTCGGCACGAATGGGCCGGCTCGACCGAAGTGATACCACGGCCTCACAGAAAACCGACGTGAAGCAACGCTTGCGTTGTGTTTCGTCGTGTGAGTGAGGTTACCGGAGGCCCAATTACCTTCCCCTTCCCCAATCTCCCCAATCCCTGAATCCCCAACGATCCTCAAACTCCTAATCCCCAAAAAGCCGGTGACGCAATTGTTACGCCTCTAGTGTTCCAGGTGTCCATGGGCGACGCCGATTGCTTACCATCAGGTGATCCGTCTGCTCGTTTACCGGCTTATGCAATAAAAAAAAAATAAAGACTGAATATTTCACACTTGAAGCGAAACTTAAGTTTTTAAATAGGTACTTTATGAAATGAGTCACAACTCATTGTATTACGCAAATTGTTGTTGTGATGGTTTGTTTACATAGCACAGCTTTTAATGCTGATGTCATAGGAAAATGCAATTAGGTCTCGATTTGATTTAAAGTACATACCTCTAAAAATCCGCTAAAGATTTCTCTATTATTTATTTTTTTTAGGTACTGTGCTTTGGATCATTAAATTGGTATTGATCTAAGTTTCTCGGGGTTTAGGGTTCGATTTAGTGGTCGGGCAAAGTACTACTGGGTATTCTCAGTGCGCTAGCACTGCCAGGCAAGGGGTCTCGGGTTCGATTCCCGGGTCGGGCAAAATATTACTGGGTTTTTAAAAATCTCAGTAGTAGCACGGAGTCTGGAAATGTACCCGGTATATTGCAATAGGCTCGCCGCCTATTACATAGGACTCATAACATAAATAGTGAAAAGTGGGTGTTACATTGTACAGTGGCATTAAGTGCCTTAATGTGCACCTCTGCCTACCGCTTCGAGGATGGCAGGCGTGATGATATGTGTGATCTAAGTTAAATAACTCAGTTATTGATAAATAACTGCTGTGAATCATACGGCTTCTTTACGTGAGCCTTTGGAGAAAGAAAGGTACCTAATACCAATTTGGCAAACATCTCCTTTTTAAAAAAAACATGATTTTTGTCTTTGATTTATGGTAGTGTATCTGGGCCTTCACTCTCTGGTGGGACTCATAAGATAAAATAGTGAAAAGTGGGTGTTACATTGTACAGTGGCATTAAGTGCCGTAATGTGCGCCTCTGCCTACCCCTTTGGGGATAAAAGGCGTGATGTTATGTTCATTACCGAATTTCCTACTCTGGACAGTGTGATGCTGATTTGAATGAATTCGTCATCTCGTGCGTACATAACGTACGAGTACGTGCCTACTCCGTCGGAAATGCTCGGCTTAAAATCGACACGTAGATATAATATGATTGTGATTCTGTGCTCGTTACACAGATTCACTTGTTGATAACTGTCACGTAGTAATGTACAGTCGATGTTAAAATAAAGTGCTTTGTTCTTCAAAAATATGGTTTAGGAGTTCCGACCCTATATTTTGGTATTAGTCGTAAGTAATCCTAGTTTAAAATCTTCTAAAAGGAGTCTCTGACCTTAAATATTATTATTTATCTTGAAGCTAGATTTCATGTCATCACGAATATGACTAAAACGTATAAACACGTTGTGAGCCGACTATAGCAAAATCTCAACTAACTGCCACGTTGGCCGCAAGTGGTCGCAAGGGCGATTGCCGGGGGTCTCGAGTTCAATCCCCGGGTCGGGCAGAGTATTACTGGGGTTACAGCCCAGAGTCTGAAATTGTGCCCGGTATATTCCCCTTCGGAGATCAAAGGCGTGATGTTATGTTACAACAAAATCTTCATCGAGATTCTAGCTATAAAATAGACCAATATTTTTTTAGTCCAAATTTCCTGTCTGGCAGTCTGGTAGTTGTCTCATAATAACCACAATAAAACAAACCTCAACAGTTTATTTTGTTTATTGTTGGAGCACAATACCGAGAAGGTTGCCCGTGGTGAACGAACAGGTTAGGTAGCCATAATTATACTTAATTCACATGGGTGAATGACAGATAATTGATAATCGCACAGTTCGTACCTTCAGAATTTCTGTCCAATAAAAAATTAACAAATTTCAAACCTTAAGACATGAAATATTTGACAGCTACAGTGATAAAACAAAGGCTCGAAGCGCAGGAGAAGGAACGGGGTGGTTTTTAGTCAGTAAGAGTCTGACACTCCCTCCCGCCTCACCTAGGCGGAAGCAGTCATTCGATGATTTTCCCCCCTTAAAAAAAGACGGCTCGCCACATTACTGCCGCTTTGTGAAAAAAAAAAAAACAATATCCCTATGGTTTTTTCTGTGACTTCTACTCCCATATGACAAATGCAATGCAACATCTGGAAAAGAATATCCTTTAAGCACTAACTACGGTAAACACTAACATCGGTTAGGTACTGGTGTTTTTCCATTGATGATAGTACCGTGGTTTTAGTTGGGTTTTTCTCCACAGATTAATTAGGGACTTATAGTGAATGGGTCACGTCGAACATATTGTTATGAGTACGTATCCTACGCAAGCGTGAGTCACTGCCTTGAGAGTCGAGAGGACAAAGACTTCCCTCGGTTGAGGAGGAAGTTGTGACGCGTTTGCCTTGTTCGGTAGGTATTGTAGGCGAGTGGAATGATCTAGTTTTTAGATAACATTGCAGTTCAAGTTCCGATGTAGGTTTAGAAGTTAGGTAGGTATCTACTTACATTAATATTATAAAAAGGAACGATTTGATTTTTTGTTTGTTTGTTTGTGTGAGTAAAATAGGCTCCGAAACTACTAGACTGATTTAAGAAAAATCTTTTACCATTGGAATCCTACATTATCCGTGATGGATTAACATAGACTTGAACATTTGAAAAGAGAAAAAACAGAACCATGTAATTTGACAGATGTGTGAAAATTCTACCGAAAAGATCCTAATATTGCGTACGTGGTTATTAGAAAACCCCAAGTTCTGCCAGAAGTCATTATTCTACGCAGACGAAGTCGCGGGAACAGCTAGTGTACTATGTTTTGATGAAGTTGTAGAAAGGTTATTTAAGTGCTAGAAAGTTTACTAATGTAAACACAAACCCAGGTATTGCAATAGGACACAAATCGAATAGATGTTTGATTGAATTAATTGATTTTAATTGATTTTTATTATTATTGTTTTGATTATTTAGTATTATTATTTTAAACTTGACCATGTTCAATTGATTATTTCCGACATTTGATTGTTTTGTCTGATTGTGTATTATTTGACGTGTGCCATATTTTGGACATTTTGTATTGTTTTTAGTCACAGTTGTTTTGTTCTTAGCTTTAATTCAATTTAATTTTAATTTTTAATTTGTATTGCCAGTTTTATGTATATTTTTATGATTTTTTGCATGTTGTGGCCTCCTATAATTGAGGAAGCACATAGCTTTTAATTTTTGTAATGCTACTCGTGTGTGCTAAGTGTATTCCTTGTTGGAGACCCTAATTCAATAAATAAATAAATGAATTTGGTAAACTTTCCTTAATTTCTCATTCTTCTCCAGTAATAATAGAAAATACATGCTTTTTATAAGCATGTATTTTCTATAGTTTAGCTTTTTACAGAACAATGCAATAAATTACTCACTTGAGTACCGCTAAGTAATTTAAGTTGAATCATAGATCAACATTTTCCTTCTATTTTCTATACCTAGTGCAAAGGGCGAATTTTGTACTAAGCATATTTTGTTTGGCACACCACCTGGTACAAATCCAGTCTCCATACAGTCTGAATAATTTCATTCGGCTTCCTTTGCAACTACTTAACCATGAACATAGCAAAGCATGAATATGAAACTTTTAGATATCAATCTATTATGCTTCAATAAATACAATGGAAAGGGGTATTTACGATAATATTAGCGTGTTTGAACTGCAACCGGTTTTCCCTCGTGGTGTATGATACCCGGTAAACCTGTCGTGGTCCACATACATAATCGTCATACCTACTCACCTTGTATGAGAAACTAGATCAGTGTACTGTAGCGTGGGGAAATAATTGTCTAATTACTTGGCGAATATCAATTAGCTATTTACCTCTCTATAGATTTGCATGTTACGTACCTACTCATATTTCCTACTGATTGATTTGCTTATCAAGATTGCTTCGTTTAAGGCAAGCCATTGTCAAGTGGTCGCATGTTGGCAAATGATAATTGGAATTCTGGTATTCTTTCTTCATAAAAAACTAAGCTACGAGGTTTAAATACTATGGTGTGTTCTTGTTTGGGTTGGGTATTTGTATCATTTAAACTGTCAAACACCAAGCGGTCACCGGTGACCGCAACCTATTGTTCTATAATTGTGTCTACAAAACCGGTACTCGACGAGTTAATAAAAAAATAATTCTAAGCTATTGAGTCAGCAACCTAACCTAAGTCTCTAGTCGATAATACGACGATAAACGGAAACTAGGTCCATTATATAACTCTGACTATCCTTTCGAGGAATCACAGGCATGATGCTATGGTAATGTTATTAACGTGCGTGTAAATAAGTTCATTCATTCGTTTGAAACAAAGGAAATGTTGAATGACATCTTCCTGAGTCATTGTGTTCCGACGTAACAACTAGTGTGGTCATAACGGCGGCATTGACTGTACTTTATCACGCCGTATTTTCCTGTAGGAAGATTTTAATATATGTTAATAAAAAATATTACTACTTAGGTAGGTGACTTACGTTTTAATGTTTTCCTCAAACCGCTGTCCTATATAAGCTTCAGTACCCGTCGTCTTCGTCAGTCGCTTGTAAACATTCGAAGATGTTCACCAAAGTAGTCGCATTGTTCGGTTTAGTGGCTTTGGCTGCGGCCGCGGACCTCAGCGTGGGCAAAGAGGGCGGACAATTAATATTCGACAAGAATGTCACCGCCAGCCCTGCCATCTGGAAACAAGTGCAGAACCTCACCGTGAACGCGACCGACGATGCCCTCATCACACGAGTGGTTGTCATTGACAACAGGCCAGAGAAGGACGGAGAAGCCAAAGTGGTCGACGGAGGTGTAGGACACAACAACATCACCATCGAGCTGAAGAGTCCCACTGTGTTCAGAGGATTTGACTTCACCGTGAAAGTGTTCGCGAATGAAGGAGCCGTGCAGGTCCCGCAACATCCAGTGTCTGTTGGAGCTAATACTCAAGTGCCGGTTAAAAACGATGTGCAAAAACCTCAGGACCCTAAAAACGATGGTGACCTCATGATTGGAGGCCCAGCGTCGACACCCAGTACTACCGAAGCACATAAGGATGGCCAGGCCAAAGTGACCCCAGCTGTAGTGGGCCAGGAACAGGCAAGACCGAGCCGTGACACTCAGGATCAGCAGCCAAAGGAGGTCAAGGGCCAGACCACCGTCTCTACACCCACTGAGCCGGCAGTTGTGGCAACTAAAGACGTGCAAGACAAGGAACACCACGACAAAACAGTGTTGAAGGACATGGACCCTAGCCTCAAGCAAGCATTGGACGCTATCTTCCAAAACAACGCTTCACTGCAATCTGACGACACCCAGAAAGTTGAGGTTCTCCCCATCAAGCCAGAAAGTAAAAAAGACGGACAAGTCCCTCAAGTGCTGAAGGTAGATGAGGTCACCACTCCTAAGGCTGATGTTACAAGTACCACTCTCAAGAATGAGGAGCAGAAACCAGTTCCCAGCACTGTATCAACCACCAGTGAGGTTCCCTCCACTAAGGTGACCACTGAGTCTACAAAACTCGGTCATAACGTGCAGACAACACACCAGTTGGAGCAGAACATCAAAGGCCACCCGGTGCACGCGGTGCCCTTACCGTACATTCATTAAATCTTACGTAAAATGTGATATTTAACATTAAGTATTACGTATAAGTATTTATAACAGCTGGAAGTGTTCCAACTCACAGTGTTTGCCATTTAAGTATTAAATAAAATAATTTATAAGTATTTTATGATTTTATTCTACCCTGAAAAGCTTTCATATTTTTACCCGACTGCCAAAGAAGGAGGGTAATGTTTTATTCATTCTACTTATTTGTTTTGGCTCGACTAAAAGTGGAGGTATTTTAATTGTACGGTACCTATGTGCTGTAGTATCATTAATTCACTGATTAAATAATTTATTAGATCAATTGCTAAGTCTCACAAGACTTACAATAGTAGATATTTGAATGACACCCTCCATGATGTTTGATGTCCATTGCATTTGTACTTATGAATTAATATTCAGAAACTCAAAATAACACAAAGATTTCCATTTATGCACGCTACACACCTTAGGATTTAACTGTACTGTCGAACTGTGCAGTTAAATTGTAAGGTGAGTAGAACAAACAGTTAAACTGTACAGTTTTACTTGACGGTGGAATAAGCTGTATGGACCTACGATTTCACTGCACAGCTAAAACAGTGAAATCGAAAGGTGTATAGCGTGCATTACAGGGAATCAAACTTCTTGGAATAAACTCAGAACGTAGTACAATTATCAAATTCTAATATCATGAAAGTTTGAGAGAATAAATGTTATTCTTTGACGCAAAATCTACTGAACGAATTCGGATGATATTTTATCATCAACAGCCTGTAAATGCCCACTGCTGAGAAAAGCTCTTCTCTTCACACGAAAAAAGGTTTGAGCATTAATCACCACGCTTGCTTAATGCGGGTTGGCGATTACAGACTTATAATTGCAAGGCTCAGGTTTCCTTACGATGGTTTTCTTCACCGTTTGTCAGTGGTGTTTAGATAATCTTATAAAGTACATATAACTCGGAAAAAGTCACATTGGTACTTGCCGTTGGTAGGTTTCGAACCCGCACCTTCATGCATGAGAAGTGGGCCTCTTAAACCTTCAGACCACCACGACACGTGGATGATATTTGGTACAGAAATATAACTTACTACTCTTACTAGCAGCCCGCCCCGGCTTCGCACAGGGTAGACAATTATTTATTTTTGGAAATTTGGATTGTTGTATCACTACAACTATTGTAGTTATGTCACTATAACTACGATAGTTGTAGTTATGTCACTATAACTACAATAGTTGGACATATGCTACCGCTGAATTTTTATGTAGACATATATTTTTGTATATCTTGAACCGTTTTCACAGCACACGCAACGGAAGGCTTCAAAGATGAAATAATTTCCCCCGTTTTTTACACATTTACCACTATATCTTTGCTCCTATTGGTCGTAGCGTGATGTTATATAACCTATAGCATTCCTCGATAACTGGACTATCCAACACAAAAAGAATTATTCAATTCGAACAAGTAGTTTCGGAGATTAGCGCGTTCAAACAAACTCTTCAGCTTTATAATATTATTAGTATATTAGTATTAGTATAGATTATGATGTTCTTCAATATTGTTGTACATTATTTTGTTCTATCGCTAATAGTTTCGGCAGCGCATTCGAAGAAAGACATTTTAAGATTCATTTTTCTACACCTTCGGTTACATTGTTTAAATTTTACCAAGGATCCCTAATTTTTTTCAAAATGAAATGTAGCCTAAGTCAAATTGGAAGATTGTAGCATTCTATTGATGAAAGATTTTTTTAATTCGGCCCTGTACTTTTTGAGCCTATTCATTATCTACAAACATACAAAAATAGGTACACATCTTTCCTCTTTATAATATTAGTTTAGTACATATAGTCTAGCATAACTTTTAAGTAATATTTAAACCGGGAACGCGGCCGAACCCGGTGGCAGAAGCTAGTATAGAAGTAAGTATGGATACCTATTGTAATAGATCTACAAATGTATGCTTCGTTGATTGAGTGGTCGCACGCACGACTGCCGAGCAAGGAGTTTCGGAAATTCGATTTCTGAATTAAGCTGCGACATTGTTTTTTTTTAGTATCCTTACTAATATTATAAATTGGAAAGTGAGTTTGTTTGTTCCGCTTTCACGCCGCAACTACTAAACCAATTGCTTTGAATTTTTGCAGAAGTAAAGTTAGAAGTCCGGATTAAATAATATGGTACTTTTATCCCGGAAAAATTTGATATTCCCTATGGAAACAAAAGTATTGGTATAGATGGCGCTGTGTGTATTGGTATATGAAACATAGGCTACTTTTTTACCGACTTCAAAAAAAGGAGGAGGTACTATGTTCGGCTGATTGTTTTTTTTTTTTTTTTGTTTTTTCGCGCCGTACTCCGCCATTTGTGAACCGATTTCCAAAATTCTTGTTTTGTTTGAAAGGGTATACTCCCGAGATGGTCCCATTTCCATGAGGTCAGGATCTGATGATGGGATCCTAGGGAAACCGAGGGGAACTTTCGAAAATTCTATGGGCGAGTAATGCGTCTATTATGTTTTTCAATTAGGATTTTGAAACACTACAATTTGATAAGGGTCTGGAGTTGACCTAAAGATGGAGCCGACAGGCAGTCGAGGGAACTCCTCAGCGGTTTATATTAACTACCTTGAGTTTGGGCTTGATTAATTTGGATTGATGAGGACTTTACACCTAAATAGAGTAGGGCTGTCATTAAGGATCTGATGATGAAGAAGTGTAATTGTTAAAGGAACTCCTTAACGGTATACAGTAACTACCTTGTGTTTGGGCTTGATTAATTTGTATTGAT